AATCATTACCATTCATCACAATTTGAGTATTCCTTCATTCCTTTGATTTGCCGTAATCATACTCAATCATAATGACCTGTCATACCGGGCCGTCAGAGGCCGTCTGTCATCTCCGAATGTTCTACTTATACAGGTCTTTCTCCTGTTACTTCTCTCCAATTTCTCTGTTCATCCTGCCCCCATGGACGACTCCGAAAGGTTGAACAACCTCCGCTTCGCATATCACACGTTCTATGAGCGTGTCCTCTCCGCCCTGCGTCGCATGGTGGGGGACCCTCCACAATTGACGGCTGTTCGGGACCAAGGACTGTCGTTGGCGGCGGCTGCTGAGCAGGTAAGTTAGCGTTATCCGGTCTCTCTGTGAATTCTGACTATCCTCGCAGCATAGAGCTGTTTCCCTGTGGATGAATACAACACCGTCCAAACCTCTATTACGGAGATGGTCTCGGTCCTTGATCTTGCATGCCACGAGTCCATGGACCCGCCGGACGCTGCGCCCCTTGTCGTTGCTCGGCGCGTTCGGACGGGCAGACGTGGGAGACCTCGTACCGAGATCGACTCTCAATTCCTCAGCGCTGCCCTGGAGCTTCGCGGCCCCATTGGGATTGCAAATTTAAATATCGGTTAAAGCCGGCAGGGCCAGGAAATCACATCAAATGACGGTGCTATCTACAAAACATGCAGCTATGCAGAAGTATATGATTTATTGCTCGACAGCGCCTGACCATGGAACCACCGTCCGAATTGCGTCTCCGGACCTTCCGTCGGGGACTCTGAGAGCAGCATATTGCGGAGGCGAGCGTTGTTGGTGATGGAAACTGTTTTGAAACACGACTGGAATGATGCCGTGGCCTCTGGGCCGTAATCCTCCTCTCCATTTACACTAGTGCAGGGGTACGTGACATCCCAGTCATGGATGATAGTGACCTGAACGACATTCAGCATGAATAAATGTCATCTGAATGCAGGGACATACCTTCACACCCCACACGGGCTGCGCAGGAAGCATCGAAGAGCCCGTCATGACGGCCATGAAGAGCCGAGCACGGATCAGCGGGTCAGAAGAATTAGGACTGATCCCAAGCGCTTCCAAGATGCGTCCAGGAATTTGCGGATGACCCCGCTCTGACAGATAGTGAAGGACAAATTGTTTGACTAGTGCCACGGTCTCCGCATTCTCCCCCCACGGGTCAAACTCCCCGTTCGCTTGAGAAAAAACAATGTGGGGGAGAATATCCGACACAGCCTTGATGGCGCGGTCGTAAGACGAAATGATCAACTCTCGGCACGGTGTCTCAAACCACTGCCAAGCGAAGAGGGTGTTGAGACCTAGGAAATTCAATTTAAATAGATAGGATGTGCTCACCTCGAGAATATGATGATCAGTATCATATGCAGCGAAAGGCTCGAGGGCTACATTGAATCCATCTGAGAGCGCTAGAAAGTCTGGGTGGTGCTGAATGTCGACAGAGCCGAGAGTAATAAAGCTTATGATTGAAGCGCAGACACCGTCGTGCTCCTCTTGAGAGCAGGAGCGAGAAATCAGGCTCGGCTGCGGAATAGGCAAGCCGCAATGTCAGTCCAGGCTTAAGAAAGGGAAAAGAAGACTGACATCCATCCCCGGGATATTAACCAAGAACTGGTATTCAGTGCACTCGCTGTCCTGCGACTCGTAAAGGCGGTCCTTCAGAGGAGTAGAATGGAAGCCTTTGATGGTATCCAGGGACTCGTGGGAGATAAACCTGGTCAAAAAGTCGAGATCGAAACGAGAAGCCGTCTGACGGCCATTGAAAAGTGTAGAAAATAGGAACGGGGAAACACAATCGGGGGCACCGATGTATAGGAAGTGAAAGAGAAGAAGAAGCCCAGAAGCCTTGAGAAAGGGAGACCTGCGCGGAATGGGAGACAAGGAGGGATGGAGACGGAGTGTTTTGTACTCGCCGCAGTCAGTCCAGTACAGTTCGTTGGATATCAAGATTTCTACAGCGCGGCCAAGAACTTCGGCTCTGGGACCCTTTCCGAAGCCAGGCTCGCTATTAATAGATGTCAGTAAAAATTTGGACCTTATGACTGGATGGACTAACATCTTGACACGAGCCGCAAAGAGAGCGACATTGGTGAAGGGCCCGGAGATAGTGGGTCTCGGGGAGGGAAATTGCTCCTGCAGAACCTCCTTGAGCTTGACCGCTGGCGGTTGACGAACGCAGTGAAGCCAAATGCAATATGTAATGAGGGCCTGGGCTGCACAATCCACAGTGGTTGCTTCAATGCTAACCACGTCACTGTCAGGCCTATGGATTTCGGTCATATGGTCTTGCCAGGAAGACAGCGAGAAGGGGCCCGCTCCAGGGAGTGAACGCAGCGTCAGGTCGATGGGACCACCAGGAATAAACGAACGGGCCTGGGCAAGCTTCAAAACAACTCAATAAATAAGCAGAACCTTACCTTGACCGAGACAGGAGCTGAATCCATGCGCGAAACCAAGAGAGGACCGGCAATGAAAGGGGGAGTAGAGGTTGTAGAGGAAGGTATGGGCGGAGTGCTTTCCTGAAAATGAATATTAGTGTGTGTCTAGAAGGGTAGTGTGGAAGACTTGCTTCCATCCATGTACGTCGGTGACGGGCACGAGTCAATATCTATGTGTATGGGATGAGACCTGAGAGATGCGACGCAGAATACACATGAGCATGCCTGAGAGGGAGCCACTGGAATTTGAGGGACCGTGAGGGGTTGAAGACCGTCCACAACAAGCTGTAGCGAAGGTTGAATATAAAATGCTATAGGAAATACTGCAGGAAACACACCTGGGAAATCAACCGCTTGGCTTCAGGGAACTTCGACCGGTCATAAGATTGGGGAGGAACAGCAGAAAGATCGCCACTGACATGAACATCATCATCGCTATCGTCGGAGTCAAGCTCCCTCAATGGGCGAGTTAAGTTGATATATTCCTGGACGGGACTGAGCTCGGTGTCGGTCAAATCAACAGGGGTACGAGGAGAAATGCGAGTGCACGAAGGGCCACAAGCAGGACTCGGATCGTCACTAAGTGAGCTGAGAATGGGATGAAGGACGCGGCGTGCGAAGCATTGGTGAGTGAGAACATGATCCGGTCGTCGGGTAGAAGGGTCAAAAAGACAATTGATGGGTCCACGTAAATTCCGGAGGCGGGGAGCTGTGAAACAAAATGGAAACTCAGCTCGGTGGCTACACGTGAGAAAGAAAGTGCTTACCAACGAAAATGAAGATACCTTCCTCGATAAAGTTGGAGGTACCACTGTAAGGACTGGCGCGCAGTGCAGGGACGGCAAAGGTGAAAGGAGTGAGACACTTGGGATCTTCGACCCATGTGCGGTTAGGAACACGACCCTTCGGCCCCAGGAGGATCCAGGGCAGGGTGTTCGGAGTGGTGTAGATGACCCCATTAGTGGACGCGGGAGTAGGTGCGACAAAATCAACATTCTGCTTGAGACAGTGCGCTGTAAACTCATCGTTGATTGCTTCAAATACCGGACCGGAAGGAGGGACTAGGACGGTGAAAGTGAGGTTAGCTAGCTGAAGTTGGCGCTGTGCAAGCTCGAGATCATCGCCACCCTTCCAAAGGTAGCGCGGGGAAAGGTCGAGGAGGTCGTTGTGATCGGATGTATTGAGCTGTCCGGTAGTATGATGTATCTTAGTTCGGTTGCAGAAAAATAAAATATGGCAACGCACTACTTTGGGCAAAATGCCCACAGTTATCTTTACTTTTAGGGGTTCGGAGGGAGCCGTACAAAAATCAGCCAAGGTGGCAGCTGGACCAGACGAGTAGGGGTGGGGAGGACCGGACAGCCGTTTGTTGGAGCGAGGGTTAGGAGGGGCGGATGAAGGACCGGCGGAAGACTGGTACTGTGGAAGTGTCCTGTAAATAGAGGCTTGACGTTCTTGCTGAACTGTGGCTGCAGCGGGCCGCCGTGAGATTCCTGCGTAAGCGAGTGCCGGGTGTTGCGGGGAGATGAGGGAGCCAGAGGAAGAGGTTGGGATGGAGGGAACCTCGCTCTCGTGAGACCGGAGGCTATCAAGGGGAGTTAGATGTGTGTCGGAGGAGGACAACTAGACGTAGTACATACCCGAGCTGACTGGGACGATCATGAGCAGCTCAAGGGCGTCCGCAGAGGCAGACTGTGCGCATTTTCCAGAGCGCCAAATCCTGGCAGGTGTCAATGTAAATAGGAATGCGACCGGCAGTCCACGTGCAGAATGAAAGGAACCACAGCGTCCATGATCCGCTCCTCCCTTGATGAACCTTCTATTCTCGGGGGCCACACTAGCAGCGTCGTTCTCGTGTGCGATCCAAGAGTGGTCGCATGCAAAGCATGTTGTTTCCGCACTCGGGAAGTCCTCCGGGGTTATGAGAGGGTGAAGCATGATTAAGAACGGAATATTTACCGTGTACAGAGGAGAACCGTCTGAGGCCTCGGAAAGAAAGGCACAGCAGTCGCACCCTCTAGAAGCACACTTGTGAGGGACATGGGACAAGAGCTTTGAAGACGGGAGGAGCCGTGAGGACGGCAAGTGTGGATGACGGCAACCCAGTTAAGTAGGGGAATTGCCGACTTTGCATGTTTCAGAAAGTAATGGGATTATGAAGGCTCATTATGAAACGCTGTGAATTGCCGTGATGACAGAATTGAGAGCGCCCATTGGAAACATACCAGGATACAATGCTTACGGATTTCATTATGACAGGTCATAATGAGGCTCATGACACTTCATCGTGAAAAGCGGTGCTGATTTCGGAATCTGCCCTGAAAGCGGATGAATTGCGATGACGGTCATAATGAATCGCTATGAAAGTGTAGGAAAGGCCATGATAACCAATGATTTTCTATGATCTTCTATGATCCCCGATGTCAATCAAAATCAATTGTTTTTTGTCCAATGGCGGCCTTCATACATCCCGCCTACCGTAATGCTAGCCAGCTGTCAAAAAAATGAAAGAAAAAGTTGAAAACTTTGGTATATGACCTGACCCCGGATCGAACGGGGACCTACTACTGAATCTTGTTCCACGGGTCAACTTGAGTAGGTGCACTATCCAATTATGCTATCAGTTCTTTCTTACACGTACTTTACCATGGTCTAAGTGGGAGAAAAATTGAACCTTGAACCTGGGTTCTAATTTCAAATTGCATCGGATTCAACTACTTCTTGGCAGACTCAGAGATTCAACAGAATAAATTGGCTTGCCTGCATCAATGACTGTCATTTCACTCGAGTGAGAGCAGGAAAATCGGCACCGTCGAAGTGTGGCGGGAAGGTGCGCAGCCAGTTGAAAGACAGAACAAAAATTGAGGACAAAAACACATTGGTCCAAGACAACGACCTGACCCCGGATCGAACGGGGGTCCCCTGCTTGAACGTTCGCCATGTATAAAATATATTTGAGCAGGTGCACTAACCAGTTATGCTATCAGATCTTCCCTAAGCCTGGTCTGCTGTGGTATATAAGTGGCACAAAGAGGGCTTGAACAGTCGAGGTTCAACCAAAATAAAATAATAGTCTGCTTGGATAATCCTTTACCGTCAATTTATCTGAGTAAGGAAGAGCGGCTTTGAGTCGGCGAGTGAGCTCCGCAGGCTGCTATATAGCCAGTGCCCAAAATTGAAAGAAAAGTACTCGACATCTTTGAAATGACCTGACCCCGAATCGAATGGGGATCTCCTGCTAAAGCTGGGATAGGGAGAGTTTAAGCTGAGCAGGCGCACTATCCAGTTGTGCTATCAGGTCTTTCTTGTATGTGGTACATGGTGGTATAGGTAGATTTGAGCTGGTAACCCTGGTGAGGCGAGCGTTGGATATTGATACATGGATCTCCACGAGTTCATTCTGCGGTAGGAACATGAGTTCATCCTGCGGTAAGGACACGGGTGGATATCATGTCGAGGGGCAGAGGCGCGTCTAAGCGAGAGGTAGGAACGCAGCGTATGTGGTGGGAAGACGGGTCAGAGTCGGAGGACTGTGGGAAGAGGCCGCGGAGGCGACGTTGGGTGGCAACACGAGGACTCGATGGTGACCTCGAGGACGATCAGGGTGTGTACGAGAACCAAAGCGAGCAAGAGCGTTCCGTGCAGCAAGGACCTGCGGATCCCAGAACATCGCGACCGCAAGGTTGCGGACATAGACACTCTTCGCTTGATCCGTTCGATAACGATCCGCAGATGCAGGAGAGTTGGCAGTGCTGGGCATCCCAGATGCGCGTGAGATGCGCGTCAGAATCGCTGAGGTTGATGCAAAGCCGTTTCACGGCAAAAACTACGTCGGCTAACAAGCGCCGGCTGTGCACCTGGCAGAAATAGAAATATTTAATTCGTCTCCGTGTATGTGTCTCTGCATGTCTCTCCCGCCGGTTCCTCCCCGCTCATACTCTGCGACGCCGACGTCGCACCTCATCTTTGAATCCCCGCCGCATTTCGACAACCCGCTGGCTGCGCCACGGCCACACCGCGTGGATCGGAGCCTGCGCGCGAACGTGAGTAGTAGTCTTGTAGTCGATTTTACGTAGGAGCGTCGATGGCGTGGCTCATGCGCGACTGCCCGCTGCCAACCCGCTGCTGCTCTGGGGCTAGGATGATACTGACTCTACACTTCAGATGGCCCGCGATCTCGACAACAGCTCAACATTTATACAACCCCGCCCGCCTTCGGCACTCCCGCCGCTGCAGGGCGCAGACTGGTTGCCGTGGGCCCCTGCCGCCGCCGCCGCCGCCCGCACGCCGTCGCCGATGCCGCCGCGCTCCCCACCGTCACCGCGCCCTCCCACGACCCCCAGCTCCAGCTCGCCTGGGCCCGCGATGTCCTCTTCCTCGTCGACCGCACCGGCTCGCTCTCCACCTCCCCCTCGCCCTCGCCGCCGCCCCCCTCGTCCTGTCTCTGGCAAGCGCAGCCGTCCCCGAGGCCCTCCACCTCCGCGCAACCTTCGCAGCCTCCGGCGCCTACCCCAACTTACTGCCAGCAAACCCGCGCGCGGCCTTCCGTGACTTCGAGGCAGCCGCGCGCGCAGGGTACGCCCCCGCGTGGTTCCGCCTCGCCCGCGACTATGAAGCATTCAACGACTCCGCGCACGCCCTGCACTACCTCGCCCGCGGCGCGCGCGCCCGCCGCGCTCCACCGTCTCGGCGCCCCGCACCTCCTCGGCCAGCTCGCCACCCCTCACGTCGCTC